TGGAGTAATATCCACTAAAATTTTAGATTTGACATCTCAAGAATAAATAACATTTAAAATGACATAAAAAAACATATTCAAAAAGTTGAAAGCTGTAATAATATTTTACAGCATTGTTTTTACTGTACTTTTAAAAACATTTTGCGACCTTAAAAATTATTTAAATAGCAATTGAAAAAAATAAGAAAAAATAGATAATTATAAAAATTAATAAAATTAAATAATAATAATATTAGTATCAGAAAAAAACAGAACTCTAAAATAATAAACTGCTCTCTCTCTTTCTCTCTCTCTCTCTCTTTCTCTCTCTTAAGATCGAACTGGCCGCTCACAGCCTGTATGATAGTCATCCAAATGCATGAATTTTATCACGGAGGAGCAGCACAAATTGTTCTTTTATGGATGTCACCCTGAGAAACAATTACCTCCCAAATAGGGCTTGATATGCTGTTAGTTTACACGTTCCATGATTAAATGTTTTTAGAAGTTTTTTTTATGATTTCCGATTAACATTTTTATGGTTTTATTTTTTATTATAATTGTATATCCAAACCTTTTCCTCTATATAACGGTCATTTTGGAGCGTCTTTAAGAACACGTACACAAGTAGAGTGTGATGATTTGGCCACTTGAAATGCCCTGCGTGGGACATTCAATAACCCGTTTGGATCTCAGCCAGCGAGTGAGAGTGTGGAGAACATCTGGTGTGTGAGGAGATATCATAAAGCAGCTACAGTTGCTCTTTTAATCACTTTCACTTTAATAAAAGAGCGATGGACTCCTGCAGGGCCGGGCCTCACACATCACCAATGGAGAATTTGCACACATATGTCAGATCAGTCCTGAGCTCAGCAGCAGGTCGCCGTCATTCACAGCAAGGCCACCAACACTTTCTGCTTTCACTTTTGTTTCATTCTGATGTAAATACATCCCATTCTCTCTGCATGTTTTCTTTTTTTTTTTGTAGAGAAAAACATTTTTATTTGCCTTTTCAATAATAAAAATAATACATATAAAATAAAAATGATTATATATAGAGTCAGATAATATTTATTTTATTTGAACATATTTTATTTCAAAGATGATTTTTTTTTGCTTAAAAAATAAATTTTTGCATAAAACAAACATTATATATATATATATATATATATATATATATATATATATGTTTTGATTACTATATATATATATAGTTCAAACTGAGCATCCGAATAAGGAAGAAAGGTGATATAAGTGACTTTAAATGCGGCATGTGTTGTTGGTGTGCCAGACTGGCTCATCTGAGTATTTCTACTGGGATTTTCACACAAAACCATCTCTAGGTTTTACAGAGAATGGTACGAAAAAGAGAAAATATCTAGTGAGTGGCAGTTCTGTGGAAGCAAATGCCTTGCTAATGTCAGAGGTCAGATTGCTTCAAGCTGATAGAAAGGCAACAGTAGCTCAAAAAAACACTCGTTACAACCGTTCATAACACGTCCAACCTTGAGGTGTATGAGCTACAGCAGCAGAAGACCACACCGTCTGTCACTCCTGTCAGCTAAGAACAGGAAGCTGAGGCTCCAATTTGCACAGGCCCACCATAATTGGACAATAAAAAATTGGAAAAATGGTACCTGGTCTGATAAGTCTCAATACCTGCTGCGACACTCGAATGGTAGGATCAGAATTTGGTGTTAACAACACGAAAGCATGGATCCATTCTGCCTTGTGCCTCGGAGGAATATTTACAGTAGCCTACCTTGTTGAGTCTATGCCATGAAGGATTAAGGATGTTCTGAAGGTGAAAGGGGGTTCAACTAGTAGGTAGTTAGGTGTACCTAATGGTCTGTGAGCATGTTTGTGTGTGTGTGTATGTATATATACATATATATATATATATATATAGGCTATATATCAGGCTGTTTTCTTTTTTTGCAAATGTGTGTTTTTAGGATACGTATGAACACAAGCAATACAATTAGTCTATTTATTACGGAAATGTTTAAAATGTCATTTCCCCAACAGTATGTTATTGATCATCAGTTTAGATTTTATGCAAATTTCCTTGCTTCAGTTTTTTTTTTTTTTTTTGGTTCAGTGCACAGTTTTTCTCCGTATACTTTAGCCTGGGCTTCAAAGAGACAGTTGCAATATGTACTTTTAGTGTGCAAGTGCTTTAATGCTGCTCATTTTGGCCTTTGCTCACACACACAAACGCACACACACAAATACACACACATCTAAACCCCTTGAACAGCCAGCACAGCGTCTGTATGGTGTGTGTGGTCCTCTCAGACCCCCATTAGCCATCCTCACAGTGTCTCTAGAAGAGGCCATCAGCACAACAATAGATTCCAGCAGTGTGCGAGTGAGACACAGGTACTGAAGAGATGAACCCTGCTAAAGCCCTCTAGCATCTTATGGCCTTCATTTACACCGCTTTCAGCTTTAACAGCTTACTCTTTCTCTTCCTGGGTTTCTCATGTGAACCATCGCAAAAGCAGCATGGAAGATCAGGCTGTAATACCCGAAGGATGGTTGTATTCTCAGATAGACATTCAAACGTAGCTGGAATAGAAACTTTGTAGCAGGTAAACAAGGCATCCTCACCTGGATATTACATTTAGCTGATTTCACATTTATGCATCCTTGGTAATTGTATGCTCAGGTAAGAGGGATTGTTAGCTATCGTTCTGGCAAGGTTTTCTCAAAGTTATGAAACATTAGGAAACATTCTCCCTGTAATGGTAATTAGGGCAGTGCAATATGACATTTTCATATCAAAATATAAGTGATCTTAAATCCTGATAATGATAGATATCATGATAAAGTACCATTTCTGTAAATGTAGAAATATAAAGTACTAACACAGTATAAAGTAACAAATTGTGAACGCATTTTCAAAATTGCAACTTTCTCACATTGCTGTTCATGCTTTTGCCTGCATGTAATGTTGTGCTCAGATTAGAGGTATACCATGAGCAATGTATTTTGTATCCAGAAAATAATCTAATGATAGAGCATAATTTGAAACGATGTTTGTTTGTTGTTTTCCCCCGTACAACATGCTGCATAATGTCATACTGCACAGCCCTTATGGAAATTGAATATTTGTTCAAAGTTATCTGGATTTTAATAATGTTCTTAAAAGCATGAACCCAAAAGCATTATTTATACAGTATAACTACTGCATTTACAGGCACCCGTTTATGCTAGCAGTTGGGTTAACCTGCTTTTATCAAAGTAAGACTGTGTGTCCGACAAAGTGTTTTTTCTTGAGCTGAGTGTTTGTTTGCTGTTGTGGTCAATGGCAGCGCTGCATTTTTAAGTGTCTCCAGCATAGCAAGGTGATGAGAGGGTGTTTCACGATCAGTGCTGAACGCTCAGCATTTTTTCAGTCATTGCAAGTTCATCAGTGTGACTTGTGAGCTTGCAATCCAATGACAGTAGAGGAGGGGCAGGACAATATCGTGCACCTGTCAACAAATAGTCTGCTGAAGACTAGTCTACCATCTCTTTCTAATGGTACTGCGGGGATAGTCTGTATTAGGGATGCTCTGATCGATTGGCTGGATTTTCCTTGGCCGATCTCATGAACGATCGCAAATGGTTGTTTATGCGTTTACAAGCAGAGGAAGATGCATGTGCGCACCTGGGTTATACATACAGCAGCTACTGCATGTATTGAGGCCTTTTTACATAAAACATTTCTGTGTTTTTGACAATATTCTGAGTTCACTAAAACCTGGATGGAAATATTAGTTGAATTAAAAAAAAAAACTTTAAAATGATATTTTTTAACATGAATATTTAATAATATATCTTCTTGTAGTTAACATATTGCAATAAACAGTAGTTTATAAGCTCATTTCCTTTTAGTAAAGAAGTAATTGATTTATAGGAGTACATTTGAACCTTTTATGCATCAAGTATGTGCTCTAAACTTTTTATTTTGGTTTAGACGATAAATTCTTCTTTTATCATTTGCAACGTTTTTAAATTAAGTTTTTAGTAAAATTTCTTAACATTTTTTTTTCTCTGTTATATAATATGTTTTGTAAAACTGCTTCTGACCATGACATTTTCACACCTAAATGGTTAAAAGAGACTTAAAAAAAATTTAGGACAGCGCTAGAAACTATGCTATGCTATGAACAGCTTAAGCATAAACTAATTTTCATAACTAAGCATGCAATAACTTGTAATGTACAGTACATCCAAAAATGACAATGACCCAATTATTCACTCAACCTCAAGCTTTTCGCAATGCATATGACGTTCTTCTGTAATACAAACACAGTCGGAGTAGTTTTAAATTGTATCCTGGCTCTTCCATCCATTGTCAATCTAACTCAACAGGGGGTTAACACACATCTTATGAGGAAGATTACTGTGTTTTTTTAACAAAAAATATATAATTTTTTTTTTAATTATAAACTCAAATCACTGATTTCCGGCACGCTGCCAACTTTTCATTCTAGACAACTTTTTTGAGTAATATACTGCACAATGTAACTTCATCAACCTCTTTGGTAAACAATCTGTGTGGTAAGTGGTTTCCATTAGACACATCTATTCCCAAAATCTCCACTACAATTCTGTTTTACATCATGTGTCTTTTTACAAGGGCAGTGCTCGCACTAAAGTTTAGGCTTAAGGCAAAAGAGTGGAATGCAGAATCTGGGAAAAAAAAGGTTGAATTTGTAAATGGATGTATAGCTGGATATTTAATGTTGCATTCTCGGCTACTTCATTCACTTTAAATTCCTTAGTTTGTTTACAAGGTGTCTGAAAAAAAAACAGGTAGAATATGGTACATAAACAACAAACCATTGCTAAACTTTTTGACTGTGTTAGGTCCCCAAAAAGTTCAACACACCCATAAAACATGTTAGACTTCAGTGAGATGTTGTTGGCCCTGCTAAGCTGCAAGTTTAGACTACTAATATGGAGTCTAAGTATGCATGACTACATAAAAATGGGCATTTCTAATGCTCGACTGTGTGTTCTCTCTACAGCAACAAGAGCAGGACCCCACTAACTTGTACATCTCCAACCTCCCGGTTTCGATGGATGAACAAGAGTTGGAGAACATGCTGAAGCCTTTCGGACATGTCATCTCCACACGGATACTCCGAGATGCCAACGGGGTCAGCCGAGGGGTCGGTTTTGCCAGGTAACCTTGACAACAGACACTCTCTTTGGCACTCGCAAGACTGGACAGAACGTTTGTGCAAGAGGGCACATATAAAAACATCCCTCGTTTTCTTTCTTTCTCTGCTTTTCTCCCTTCTTCTCTTGTGTGGCGCGTGTGGGGCGGGTTGGCTGGTTTTCAGGGTCACTGGCTGTGTAAGAGATCCCAGCAGAGGCTGCATTTGTGTGTGTATGTGTGTGTGTACGAGTGTGCCAGCCAGGCAATTAGCCGTTCAGCCATGATTGGGTGAGCAGAGCTGAATGGGGCCGCACAGAGGAGAGGAGCCACTCCAGAGAGCACAGACTAAATCAAGACTCCCAGCAGCCCGAAACAAACACTATATAACACCCCTGCCGCTCTTTATTTTCCCCCTCTCCATCTCTTTCTCATTCTCTAAATTAACATATAAGGATGTTTCTTCAATTACCAGAACTTTAATGTCCCAGTGGTTAAAAATAATAGATTTGAACTTGGTTTTGTAAAATGAGGATCTCTGGGAACTTTTTGTAATGCCTTTCTTTTTTCAGTTTAATTCAACTTATTTAATAACTTTATTCTGTTCTTTTATTATTTATTTATTGTTATTATGCAAAAAGATACATAATTAAAAGAGACAAATATGTTTAAAAACATTAATTTAACCCTTGAATGCACATCTAAATTCTCTATCTATCTATCCATATATCGATCCATCCATCTATTTATCTATCCAACTATCCGTCCGTCCATCCATCTGTCCATCCAGTTGTCCATGTTTCTATCCTTCCATCCATCTAATTGTCCATCTGTCTATGCAATCATCCATCCATCCATTTAATTGTCCCCCTATCCATCCATCTATCCATCCATCCAATTGTCCATCTATCCATCCATCTATTCATGCATTTATCCATCCATCCATTCATCCATCTATTCATCCATCTATCGATCTGTCTCTCTATCTATATGTCCATCTATTCATTCATCCAGCCATCTAGCTGTCCATCTATTCATCCATCCATCCATCTAATTTTACATCTATCCATCCATCCATTCATCCATCCATCCATCAGTCTGTCTATCTTTGTCTATCTATTCATTTATCTATTCATTTGTCATTCTGTCTGTCCATTTAGAATCGGAATCCATCCATCCTTCTATGTCTATGTATCTATCCATCCATCCATTCATCTAGTTGTCTATCTATCTATCTATCTATCTATCTATCTATCTATCTATCTATCTATCTATCTATCTATCTATCTATCTATCTATCTATCTATCTATCTATCTATTCATCCATCCATTCATCCATCCATCCATCCATCCATCCAATTTTCCATCCATCCATCCATCCATCCATCCATCCATCCATCCATCCATCCATCCATCAGTCTGTCTATCTATGTCTATCTATTTATTCATCCATTTATTTTTCCTTCTGTCTGTCCATTTAGAATAGGAATCCATCCATCTATTGTCTGTCTATCCATCCATCCATCCATCCATCCATCCATCCAATTGTCCCTCTATATACCCATCCATCCATCAGTCTGTCTATCTATGTCTATCTATTCATTCATCCATTTATTTTTCCTTCTGTCTGTCCATTTAAAATAGGAATCCATCCATCTATTGTCTGTCTATCCATCCGTCCATCCATCCATCCATTCATCCATCCATCCAATTGTCCATCTATATACCCATCCATCCATCAATTCATCCATCCATCTAATTGTCTGTTTATTCATCCATCCATCCATCCATCCATCCATCGAATTGTCCATCTACCCATCCAATTTTCTGTCTATCTATCCATCCATCCATTTTATTGTCTGTCTATCTATCCATCCATCTATGCATTAAGATATCTATCTATCTATCTATCTATCTATCTATCTATCTATCTATCTATCTATCTATCTATCTATCTATCTATCTATCTATCTATCTATCTATCTATCTATCTATCTATCTATCTATCCATCCATCCATCCATCCATCCATCCATCCATCCATCCATCCATCCATCCATCCATCCATCCATCCATCCATCCATCCATCCATCCATCCATCCATCCATCCATGAGACACACCCACCCACCCATGAGACATACTGTATAATGTTCAAAGAAAATCAAGGGAAATTTAACTCATAGGCAGAATATTTTTATTCAACATAATTTCTCATCAAACCGCTGATGTACTTTTATCAAATTATTCCAAAGTGTGCAAACATCATTTGACTTTATTTATTTTAGACATTACCGAGCCACACTGTTTGATTTCATCTAACCCTATTACAATAAAACCGAATGAAAATGCATAATTTATATATGGTGAAAATTACATTTGTTTTGATTACAAACAGGACATGATTTTTTATGCGTTCATATATGTCTACTGGTGGAAGATATTGATAGACAAGTTAATCTAGTGAGCATATAAAAAGTGTTTTAATAGAGTTTATTTTTCTGAAGTCCACAGGGCCAAAAATGTCTACAGCTGACGAAACATGCATGAAGTAGTGTATAAAAAAGTTAAAGCTGTTGAGTTTTCCAGTGCAGTCATGACCGATAGCTTTAATTCAGATCGCTTCATGCTGTGTGTTTCTCTTTCTGCCACAGAATGGAGTCCACTGAGAAATGTGACGTGGTGATTCAACATTTCAACGGAAAGTTTCTCAAAACCCCACCAGGAGTTCCAGGCAAGTGTCAACAACGCAGTGTGTTCTGACAATATTGTGTGCTAACCAGGTGCAAAGCCATAAAATGACAATCAACCAGACATTTTGTGGCCCAATTGCTGTCTGTCTTTTTTTTTCTGCTCTGTCCCCAGTAAAATCCCTTTGCTCTAAAGTCCCTCTCCATATAACTGTAAATTGAAAGAATAGTTCAGCCAAAATAACATCATTTACCCGCCCTCATGTTGTTCCGAACTCATATTTTTTTGCGAGTAAATTATGACAGAAATCTAATTTAATATGTTTTGGTTTGCTGTGATTCCGTTTTTGATTTTGACAGCATAATTACACCTTATAGCGTCAAGCTTTAGATATATACTAAACCCTGGAGTTCAGCGTGAACCAAACCTCTAGTGTGAGGAAGTACACGTCTCCCCGCTTTGACTCATCAGCTTCATATGACAGGATCTGATTTATAGGTTGATTAAGGTTTAATTTAAGCCTGGTGTGCCTGAGGAAAACAGCTCCCAGAGGGCAGCAGAATGTGCGGCGTATACCAGAAACAAACATTTATACTGAAGACAGCTTTTAGGACACATTTAACTTGCATTGTGTGATTTATTTCAAAGCGAAACACAATTTGACAGAAATATGATGGAGGATCAGACTTGATTTTATTTATATGGAATAAATTGGATTGTCAAAAAGGCTTTGATATTATTTATTAACATTTTTGGGGGGGGGGATTTCAGTCATTATTTCAAAGACTAACCAGTCAAATAAAAATCAAGTATAGTTTTTACAATGTAAGTGCTTTAAAATAAAATAAAATAAGACTTTCACTTTTCTGCTTTATGCCGCGTTCACTTCAATTGTAACTGCCATAATTCTGTCTTTGCTTATTTTAATGGAGTCATGAGTTTTTACGATAAAGATTTTGACTATTTTCTTTTTTTAAAAAGCTCATTTTTGTCATGTTGTGTTCCTCCTCATCAGGACACACCTTTTGAATAGGCATTACTGATTGTAGACTTAAACCTCATGTACACTGGGACATTAATCACTTGAGCTTACTGACTGCTTTTTACTTTTTAATTTTTACTGCCTGTGAGCTGAACCAATGTGCAAAATCATTCCCTGTCATGAGATGGTGCTTAATTAAAAACAGAAATACTCCAATACACAAGGTGGCACTGCACAACTTTACGTTTCTGACACTCGCTTGTTGTGTGAATGGCACTCTATACACTATGCACTTATGCACTTACACGCTCTACAGAAGAGTGTACTCTAATATTCTTTTACTAATGAAAAATTCTAATGTTTTCCTAGATGTTATTCGACAATTGCCAAATTAGTGAAATAAATGACCAAACTACCAAATAGTAGCTTACATGAGTATAATCACATTCACCATCAGGAGGCGGCATAATCACTTATGTGGGAGAATTTTGCTTTAACAATCCAAAATAAATAAAGTAATCAAAGTCAGTGCTCAATAGCTCCGCCCCTTCTGCTACTTGAGCAAAACTGCAGACGCATCATCAGTTTTTTCAGAAAACATATTTCTAAAGGTGCTGTTGACTTTTTCCCCAGATGTTGGTAACAACCAAAGAAATCCATGTATGCATAGAAAAAAAACGAATTAGTTTTCAAATGAAGTTATGCCAAGTAAAATGAAATGACATGGGGAAAAAGTGTTGAACACATGAAGAAAGGGAGGTGTAGAAAAGCAGTGAAAGCCCAGATAGCAGCTGAAATCTCTCAGTAGTTCTTCAGCCACCCTCTGCCCTTCCTCAGTGTAAACACCTACATTATCAAGATGATGAAGATGAAACCAGGGTGGACATTATAGCAAAACAATGATCAAAAACACAGCCAAAGAACTTGCCTTTTGAATCCTATTTGATCAGCAATTCTTGCGATCTCTGCTAGACTATTTTTTGAGCACCACCATGTCATGTTTTACTGTTGCTTCAGCAGCTCATGGCACGTGAGTAAAGCACCAATCTCGTTGGTTGGCAGCTTTTTAACATAGCACGTCAAACCAAAATACAAGTGTTTTTTATGCTTTTATGCATGCTGTTTTGCATGTTAGTGTGAACTCAGTAGCACCGTTTCTTTGTCATGTGGTGTTAAATGTTGGCGATAATTGCACATGATAATCTTCCCCTGGTTGGCACGAGCCTTCAGAAGTAAATGGCCACTCACTGGCTAGTAGTTTGCATATTAAATTAATTTGAAAAGTTTGAAAATGATTTTAAAAAAAAAGTTTGAGCATCCTACATAGACGGACACTGATGTGATTTAGGTTTAAAACAGATAAATGCTCAATACATGTCAAACAATCCATAATTGCATAATGATAACAGTATTACTGTTGTATAAAATGTAGTCTGTACATAACCACCTTACTTTAAAATGAGGATTCAGTCTCGAATCATCCCGTGTTTGTAAACAAATTTGCTATAAAAAGAACAAGAACAAAAGACCAATTTCATACTGAAGCAGTCTGAAACTTCATTCAAATTAAAAGATCAAGCAAATATTGTTTTTCCAGTACATGACCCCAAAAGCAGGGGGGGTGCTTGGGTGCAAAATTACTTTACAATATAATGACTACATTCTGCCATGAATATTCCTTTAAAAAAACAATCCAACTTTTATACAGTGACAAACACTCACAGTGCACACAAAAATATTGTGTAAACAGTGTTGTTTAGTAGTGTAGTTTTGCAAAGCTCAGGGTATTTTCCTCAATACTTAGTGTTTGTTCCACCCCTGTTGCAATTTTTTTAGCAGCTTTTTCTCAAGTTTTAGCATCATTCAAAGTACATTTTTGACTACTTATAAATGCATCATGATTATTAGTAGACTATGAGTAGACTACTCAAGTATGACTATTAGGCTGTTTTGCTGTTTTATATTTGTGTTTTTTTTTAAGATTTTTGGATGAATAGAAAGTTGCAAATATACTATTGATATCTAATAAATCTAAATGTAGAATTGTTGAAAAAAATACAACAACTGAAATAAAATCATACTGAGCCCAAACCTTTGAATGACCTATTAAATGTCAAATATTTTCTGATTGCCATTTTTATATGAATAACAGGGTAGTGCAGAAGGAAACTGTTTATTTTAAAAAGTGTATTTGTTACTTAGCATCTCTGTTCAGAAATTTTGAATTGTTTCTCAATCAATAATTTGATTGTCCTGACTTACGAACAAATTATTTGTTTGCCATTTTGCCATTTAGAGCAAGCGGCTTTTCAAAAAGAAAAAACAAAATTACTTTCTATTATAATGTCTAAATACTGTCATGGTATTTTAAGAAACAATCACACTTTTATACCACAACAAACACTCAGTGCACGCACAAATAATGTGTAAACAATGTTTTTAATAGTGTAGTTTTGCTAAGCTCAGGGTATTTTCCTCAATAATGTGCTTGATGTTTGTTCCCCCGCTATTGCGGAGCTTTTCTTGTTTCCCTAAGAGAGAGAAAAGGCGAGCAATAGCTGCAGAAATTCAGCTGGAGAGGTTAGGGAGGATGAGAAAGAGAATAGGTGATTCCTCTTGGATACTGTGTGTGTGTGTGTGTGTGTGTGTGTGTGTGTGTGTGTGTGTGTGTGTGTGTGTGTGTGTGTGTGTGTGTGTGTGTGTGTGTGTGTGTGTGTGTGTGTGTGTGTTTTATGTTTGAAGGAGGCAACGGCAGAGGGCTTGGGGGGGGGTGTAAAAGCAACTGACAAGACAGAGAGAGAGAATAGGAAGAGAGAGATTGGAGAGGGCAGCCTGCAACTCTGGCAGTTGCTGTGTGATTTGTGGGGTGTAGCGTGCGGCTCGGTGTCAGACCCAAAGACAGAGGGATGATGGATGACTTCATCTATACCTCTCTCTCTCTTAAAGTCTCTCCCTCTCTCTCTCTCTCTCTCTCTCTCTGTCTCCTCAGTACTAACAGACTCCTGGCCAACTCCGTCCTGTCTGTACGTTTACACCGTGTCTTAACCTGGTGCGACAGGAAAAAGGCGACAAGCAATAAAAATGTCTTCCATGTAAATCTGAGTTGCTGCTAAACAGCTGTGACTGCAACAAGCACTGAGCGATTTTGTTTTTTCAGTAACTTGGTTTCTATTTCTGCTGCATTTCAGTGTCCTCAGATGACATATCACATCTCTAGACATCATTCGCCTAAGATTTAGCATTCATTTAGCTTTCAAAAGTTTAGGGTTTGCAAGTCTCAAAAAGGCAAAAGAAACACAGCATAAACTGTAATACTCAAATATTGTGACAATTTTGCGATACATTTTGGGGTGGCATGATGGCTCAGTGGTTAACACTGTTGCCTCACAACATTCTGGTTTGAGTCCCTGCCATACATGTCAACACTCCTGTTTTTCCTGGGATTGTCCTGTAATTTACAATTCTATCTCGTTATCATACAGTATTGGTATTTTCCCATAATTCTCCTGTATTTTCAATCTTTTCTATGAAAGGTGGCAATAAACATTAAAAGGCCGATCCTCCCTATATGCAACCCATACAGCCGAACCACTGGGGGTGACCTCTTAAATGCGATTCTATTCTGTGCTTTCATTTTATATATGCATGAAAACACTATGAAATAAATATAAAAATGGCAGGGTTCCCTTCTTTTCTATCACAGACACTGTTTTCCCTCCTATGCAATCCATCCTACACTTCCGAAACACTAGCTGGCAGTAGGTTTTTATGTTCCTCTGTGTCGAGTTTCTTCGCTGGTGTTTTGTTTTTTTCTGAAAGCTACCCTAACAAACAAGCAGCTAAAACTTGCTCATTCAGAGGCAGGAACCGGCGAACGTGCAACAACTTATCATAAGGTAAAGACAACTCAAGTTTCCATCTGAAGCTCCTTCATGGGACTTGACATTTGTAAACACTCACTCCAACAGAATAGAGCAGCTCTCAGCACCGCCCACACTGGTCACAGCTACCAAGCCCACCAATCACAGAGCTTGCGCTAAGCTAGCGCGTGAAGGCTGCGC